AGATATAAAGCTGTATGTTTTCTAGTAATAAAGAAGTTAAATAATCAAAAGGAAATATCAATCTTAAATTTGTATGCATATAATAGCACAATTTTAAAAAATTGGGTATACGAGTTACTATTTTTAACTGATTTTACTAATTTACATGACAAATTACTACTCCAAAACTTAGTAGCACAAGACAACCCTTTACTATGCACATGGATTCTGGGTGAGGACTTTGGACACAACACAGGGGTTAGCTTAACACTCACTAAGTGTGACGAGGAATTTGGACAGGGCACATCCAGGATGACTTCTCACCACTCATGAATTTTGGGGCCCCCTCCTGGAAGACTCATTCACTCAAAAGTCTGGCAGCTGCTGCTAGTTCAGTTTGGGGGTGGGGGGTCTCAGTTCTACTCCATATGGGACTTTCATGTGATTTCTGGGGGTGCTCATTTGGGCTTCTTCACAGCCTGCTGACTGGCTTTTCTTGAGAGAGTGTCCCAAAAGAGTGAGCCACTGGAAGCTGTACCGCCTTTCCCTAGCTTAACCTCAGAAGTCTCACCATGTCGCTTCTAGTGCACCCTAGATTTTAGTCACCAAGGCCGGCCCATATTCAAGGTGAGAGCAATTAGATTATATCAATTAGATTCAAGGGGAAGAGTGTTAAAGAATTTGCCAAGGAGCAAGGAATTCTGATTATCCCAGCGGTCATGACCCAAGTTCTCACATTTGCCAGGTTGCCCAGGGAAGCAAAAGTGATCTGTTAACCTAAAAATGAAAGGCCTTTTCAAAGTGAGAGGCAGCAAGTATTTATTGAGATCAATAAGAATAGCTATTTGGGACTCTGATTGAGGCAGAAGCACAAATAGTGTTCTGATTAGGAAACAAAGGCAACAGGTATTTAAGAGAAAGGGAAAGGGAACAATTACATCAACAGAAGGAAGACATTTCTATTGGTTCAGATAATATAACATAGTGACGGTAATTCTAAACAGTGTTTTAAATTTTCAGTCAAGTAGTCATAATAACTGCTTTCTTGTTATCTTTGCAAGCAGTTTTGCAAGGCACAAGGTTGCTTAGGTCCAGTGCAAAGGTTATTTTGCTTTGTTTTAATATTCCAAAGATTTGAGATATAAGACATGCATGGCAGCTCCGGCTCCATTTTAAAGTGGTTCTGTTTAAATTATCTTTTACAGATCATAACAAGGAAATATTCAACAATGCATTGACATTCTCTACCTCCCCCCGATATTCCTCTTGGCTGAGACTAAGAGCTCTCTGTGTGCCCTACGCCCATCAAATCAAAGTCTTTATTGGTCAGCCTCTCTCAGGTAGCCCAGTGTAAATAACTGGCAACACAAGGCAAACTTCTGCAACGTGTGACTGCGAGTCTTCCAGAGGAGGCAGGATCTCATGCAGCCATTACAAAGAATGTAGAAAAATCGCTCGAATTACACTAAACTATTAGCGAACCTAGGTGTGACAGAGATAGACCAGTAAATAACCAGAAAAGAAAAAGTCGTTAAGTATGTGATACTTCAATAAAGAATGGTTTGAGGATGAATAAACTGCTACATATTCACACGATAGATTTTAAATGGTTGTCAAAATGACTGTAGCAACACACAACAATGTGAATGAATCTTAGCAATGTAGTAGTAAGTGAAGAAAGAGTACCAAAGAAAGATATGACAGTTAAAAACAACCAAAGGTATACAGTAAATGCATATACATACACTTTTTAGGACTATACGTAGATGCAGCAAAACCATAATATTGTATAAGGAAACTATATAAAGAAAGTAAAGAAATGATGAACTTAGGGTTCTAGATGATGATTGCCTTGGGCCAGAGAAGGAAGTGAAACGGGCTGGGTAGACCATCCTGTCAGATCTGAATTACTGACAAGATCCTCATTTTATTTTGGGTAGAGGACTTGAGGGTAACTATTACATTATTAAAAATAACTAATATTTAAAAAGTAAATAACAGAGAGCCATGCATGGAGCAATGAGAAATATGTCCTGCACAAAGGATTATAGTAAATCTAATTGTGAGCAGATGAGGTATAATTTAAAAAAAAATAAAACAAGATATAACAGCATTTACCCTGCAAAGTTGCTGTGAGGAGGAAATGATTTAATATATTTAAAATATTCAGAAGAGTGACTGAAACATAGTAGCACTGTACTATATAAGTATTTTTGCTATTATTATTTTTACTTTATGCCAAGGGCAACTACTATTTATTATGCATGTCAAACTACAATTTATTAAGCTGTGTTGCAGCAGACATTATTAGCTTCCTTCCCAATACCCATTTCCTCCTTTTTTGCTAACAGAAGCTTTTGTTCAGGATGGCAACGAACCTACATGCAGGCAAAATATTTGCTTTTCCACATATGAGCTTGTATCAAGGGTGTCCATGGGACACGGTTTTAGCAAATGACATACAAGCAGAAGTCTGCTGGGGCTCTAGGAAGACTTTTATTTTTCCTGATAAAAAGAAGATGATGTGGCTGGCACCATTCCTACATCTTCCTTCTTAACTTGAATGTGGTGTGATGCCTAGAGCTTCAGCAGCTATTTTGTTACTATGAGGCAACAGGCATGAAGATAAAAGCAAATATGCTAAGGATGTCGACATGAAAGAGGGAGTCTTTCTGTATTTTATCAATTACTCCTAAAGTTGAATATTTTTATAAGTACTGATATGTGATTTCAAAATCTGTCTAAATAAGTTAAAAAATTATTTCGATAAGTAGAAAATAAAAATTTAAATATTATATTTCCTCTCAGAGGTACCTGAAATAATGGTGCAGTTGATGGCATCTTAGATTAATAAAAATCACAGTAAGAACTTTATATTTTCAGTTCTTTTCACAATTTGACTTGTGATTCCAGCAGAACACGTTGCTGCTAGCTCTTTTCAGCTGGATCTCTTGCATTATTGGGTCAAGGGGAGGAAAATAACAAAGACAATGAGCACATTATAAGACTTTACAGCCTAAGGCACCTATATCACTTAAGAGTACATTTGGCTGCAAAGAACACACTCAAATAACAGTAGTTTGAACAAATAAAGATTTAAATGCTGTTATATCTTGTTTTCACAACAGAAAGTTGGGTAGTGGCAGTCTAGCATTTGGGCATTGCCCTCTGAGGAGAATCTTTGGGTGGCTAAGAAGAGGTAGGATAAAAAACTGCTTTTTTTTTTAACCCTTTGAGTATATTTGATGATTTCCCCCCTCAAATATTGTATTGCTCATTGCTTTGTAACAAATTATCTCAAACTTTAGAAGTTTATGATAACAAATATTTTTTTATGTCATAGTTTCTAAATGTGGCTTAGCTGGGTGATTCTGGCTCAGAATCAAAATCTGAGCCAGAATCAGTCAACAAAAGTGGCAGTCCAGCTGTTGGCTGGGGCTGTGGCCGTCTGAATGCTCTGCTAGAAGGAATAGATCCTCATCCAAGCTCACGCACGTGGTTGTTGGCAGGAAGTCTCAGTTTCTTGCTGGCTATTAGTCAGATACCTCAGTTCTTCACCTCGTGGATCTTGCTGGCTATTAGTCAGATACCTCAGTTCTTCACCTCGTAGGCTGTTTGAGTGTCCTCACAACATGGCAGCTGGCTTTCCCCATGGCAAATGATTCAAGACTGAGAGAGACCAAAATGGAAGCTGCAGTACCTTTTTTAACCTAATCTTAGTGGTGATGTTCATCATTTCAGGTTCATTTGATTGGTCATACACACAAACCCTGGAGGGGACTATGGGGCGTGGGCTACACAAGGGTATAAATACCAGGAGGTGGGAATCACTGAGGGTCAACTAGAAGGCCAGCTACCTGTTCTAGCACATATTTACCAACATTTGTTATTATTTTAAAATTATTTTCTATTTTGATTTATGTCATCCTGAACATGCCCGATCTTATCTGATTTTGGAAGCTGGTTAATACTTGCATTGGAGACTACCTACGAGTATCAGGTGCTGTAGGCAGTATCAGATCAATTTAATTAGTTTTTAAGATGAAAATAGATACTTTGTATACATATAAGCTTGAGTTCTTAAAGATATCTCTTCTATATTTTCTTGTAAAACATCCATCAACTTAAAAGAAAGCTACTGAGATAATTTATGACCTCCTCTCATATGCTTTTCTTTGGCTTTGTATACCACAATATGAATTTGTACCATAATTGAATGCTCTAATGCAAGAAGTAGCTTTATTATTTTACCTTTATTTTTTAAAAATAATAAATCTGACTGAGCCCTCTTCCTTAAGGAATTGGGGAGAAATTTCTATCTCAATCAGTATTGTTTTACTCCCCATCTCCCCTATCCCTTGCTGGAGTCACATAGAATTCCCAAGTTCACCCAATCTTGAAATCTTTGTGAAGGGCTCTGGACTTCAGGCTGGTGTGTTCACTATGAGAAGCTTGGTGTCCAACCCCAGTTGTCCCACTGCTCATAGACCCAAAGGCTGGGGCTTAGAGCTCAGTTCCTGTGTCCATGCAGCTAACCCATTAAGACATCCTGTCCCTCCAGAGTCTGGGAGGAAGTCAAACACAGGCCCCAAAGCGGGCAGAAGCAGACACCTCTCTACTCTGTCAAGGATAAGGAAATCCCATTTGCTGTAGGGGCTAGGATCTATTTCTTTCTCCCTCAACTTTTCAAGCCAACACCCCCTACCCACATAATTTAGATCTCTGCCTTTGGGAGTCCAGACTGTCCAAAACAAAAGTCTTTTAACTCTCTAGTGGGGGAAGAAATGGGCATTACTCTTAAACCTACAAAGAGAAAATGCCTGTCATGTTTTGGTGGTGAATCAGCTGACAAGCAGGGAAACTAGCCCCCAATTCTGAAGGAGGTAATTCTGACAGTAAATCACACTGCTACATACAAAGTCCAATCCAACTTCCCAGGGGTGTCTCTGAGCATTCCTTCTCATGTATACAGTGTTCCCACTTGCTCAAATATTTTTTCTCCCCTTTTCCACTTGGCTTACCTCTATTCATCTCTCAAGATCATTTGAATCCTGGAAAAGGTGTCAGAGTTCTAAATTGACATCTGTAATTCTCTGTCTTTTGTGGTCATAAGCTGATTGCACTAGCGCTCACACCAGTATTCTGAGCAGGAGTGTGCCAGTAAACTCTTCTCCATGTTTGTCTTTTCATAGGGAAAAAACCATTTCCCAGAACCCCCAGCAGTCTGCCCCTCATGGCTCATTGGTCAGAACTGGGTCACATGGCTACCTAGAGCTGCAGAGGAGGCTGGGGAAGCAAACTTCCTGGAAAAGCTGAGTAGAACTGCCATACTGGTTTAGACAAATCATGACTTATCCCCAGACTGGGAACATAGTTGCCTCACTTCTCTAAGAAATGAGCCCCCTTAACAAGGAAGAAGGAAAGAAATGGCTATTAAAATCTATCATAGAGACCTTATTTTATTAATTATTATGGTAGGAATTACTACTATCTCTTTGCCCCTCCTCGCATAGAGCAGAATTTTTAGAAGTACACATGGTTAGCTAGAATGTTTGCCTTTCCCAGCCTCTCTTGCAGCTGAGTGCAGCCATGAGACCAATTTCTAAGAAAAAAAAAATGGGTTAAAAGGGGAAGAAATAAACATAACCACCAAATATTAAGGACAAGGTCATATCCTCCTTTTCCCTCATCCCAATGGCTGAAGTGTGGATGTGGTGGGGAGCCATGCCAACTGGGTGAGGACATAACAGAGGGTAGAGAGAGACAAGGAGCCCAGACCTCTGAAAGTTTCACAGAGCAGAGCTGCCATCCAGCTTAGGGTTTTACATGAGAAAAACTGTAAACTTCTATCATGTTTAAAGCACTGTTATTTTCCAGCCACACTTATGTCCTAACAAATACAACTCTCTCCATTGCTCTAATTGTAAGTATGCTAAAGTCTCTCCTAATTCAATCTCTCCATTGATCCTGTGTTTCTAATTTAGATTCAGTCTTTCTCTGTTAGAGCAAGCAACAAATACTGACTCTTGCCTGATTTAAGCAGAAAAGTCAGCTCAAAGGCTTGTGGAAAGGGCTAGAGAACCACCAGTTATCTATTGCCACAATAACTCCAGATAACCTCAGTGGCATATAACAAGAACAGTATTTAGTTCATAAGTTCAGCTTATCTGGGGCTGGGCTGAGCTGGGCTGATCTCAGCTGGACTCATTTGAGTGTCTGGGGTCAGCTGTTTGTTGCCTAGAGAGCTCTGTTGACTTTGGCTGAGCTCATTCATACATCTGAAGCTCAACTGGCTGATTAGGTGGCCTCAGCTGGGATAACTCAGTGAGACTTGGCCTAGTGCCACATGTCTCTCATCATCCAGTAGACTAGCCAAGACATGTTCTAACGGCAATTGCCGAGGTCAACAGTGAGAGTGTTATGGATTGAATGTATTTCCCCAAAATTCACATGTTGAAAACCTAGTGCCCAAGGTGATGACATTAGAAGGTGGGGCCCTTGGGAAGTGACTAGGTCATGAGGATGGAATGAATGAAATTAGCAGCCTTATAAAAGAGGTCCCAGAGAGATCCCTTGCTCCTTCCACCATGTGAGAACACAATGAGAAGTCAGCAGTCTGCAACCTGGAAGACAACCCTTACCAGAACCCATCTAGAACTGTGAGAAATAAATTTCTGTTGTTTATAAGCCACCCAGTCTATGGTACTTTGTTATAGCAGCCCATACAGACTAAGACAAGAAGCGAGCCCAATCACACAAGTGCTTTTCAAGCCTCCACTCGTGTAGTGTTTGCTAACATCCATTGACCAAAGCAAGTCACAAAGGTGAGTCCAGAATCAGAATGGGAAGGTCCGACAAGATAACGCAGATGCAGGGAGAGGTGAAGAATTGAGGCCATTAATGCAATCAGTGTGCCACACCATATTCAGGTTTTGCTTATTGGGTAGTAGCCAACATCACACCACAGAGCTGGGCCACTGAAGATGCTGCTACTGCCACTAATGAGCAGTTGATGTCATATTTAAACTAAGAGACCTTTCAGCACCAAATTCTGGGTGTTGATGCTGACATGGCTGTTCCCCCAAACGGGGTGTTGCTGCCACAAATGGCACTGCCCACTAGAAGAATATATTATTTTCTGTCTCTTTGCATTACAAGCTCCTCCTGATTCAAAGTCAAGGTTGGACAGATTTTATTAGCACATGACTTAGTTCACAAGGAAGGGCGAGAAAGTGAGGAGCTGGGAATTTTAGTTAGAACACTAGGAGGTGAGCTCTGCTCCACACAGTTTCACAGAGTGGAACTCTTCATCTGGCTTCTGACTCTGCTGAGCCATTTGGGTTGACAATAACCCAACGATTGCCAATCGAACAGACAGTTTTTAGAGGGTTGGGAGGCAAGCATGTGCCATGTAATGCAACACCTTTTAGGCCATGCTTAGGAGTTTGGATTTCATTCTAAGTGTAGGGGAAACCATTTAATGATTAGATATGTAACTGCAATGGTCTTTTCTACAATGCAGATCTGGTCATGTCATGCCCCTACTAAACTTTCAGTGAACGCCCCATTGCCTAGAGGAAAAGGTTACACAATCCTTATAGGGCATTAGAAGTCCACCATGAAAAGGTCCTTCTCCAGTATCTCCTGTCACTGAATCTCTTTCTTTGCACTCTTTGTCATTACCAGGTAGAGCCACTTATGGTTTATTTTAGTTTGGATTCTCCCAGAAGCTCATCCTGAGACAAAGATTTGAGTGCAAATAGTTTTTGGGGGGAGGTGATGGAAACACCAGTGAGGAAGAGGTAGAAAATGATACAGGAAAGGAATGCAGCCCATAAAAGGTGAGCTATTAAGCCAACTCCACAGTGGACAATAGGAGCTTAATCTTGTAAAGAAACTCTAAGAAACACATGCCTCAGAATTATCCCACTTGAGGAGTGTAGCTGGGTTATTTACACACCAACCCCTGAGAGTCTTTGTTTGACGGCTGTTCCCAGGGCAAAGAGAGCACATAGAAATGTCGAAGGATATGGGCAAGGCACTGACAGTGTCTTCCATGTGGTTTCTCAAATGCAGCTTATCCTTGTAGAATCTCATAGTTCTATAAATGCTTCATCCTTCCGCCTAGGATGTTTTCTCCTCCCAGTTTACCCGGTAAACTTCTACTGAACTAAATTCAAGACCTTTCCCAGCTTTCTAAATAGAGAGGACCATACCTCACTCTGTGTTTCCTTAGGACGTAGTACACACCTCTATTTTTTATGACTTGTCATACTGCTTTACTTACTGGCTGACTCCCCTAAAGATATTACACTTGTTGAGGGCAGGGGCTTTATGTTAACAGATCTTAATATAGTTTGGCACCTGGAATATAATATAAAGCTAGTTAGATGGAAAGATTAATTTCTATCTATAGAGTCTGTCAATGACCTGGTAGAATGCTGCATTGAACTGAGGCCAATATGAGGCAAAATCATACAGTTTTTATGTCTCTTCATTATCTCTACGGTATTTCCCTTCCTTCATTCACTCGGTACCCTCCTCTTCTCTCTATCTTAATATCAAAATCTGCTCCTGGATACTTCTTTTACTTCAAAGGAGTACAAAATCAAGAGATAAGAAACCTAGATTCCTGTTCATCTTTGCCATTGATTAGCTTTAGGGTCCTTGGACAAGGTTCTTTCTCTCTAAGCTTCAAACTCCTCATTTGTCAAACGATCTTGAATATCTCTGCCAATTATTAAGGGGCTCTATAAGAATATCTCTAGAAGGATGACACACAAGGAACTGCAACAGTGGTTGCTGCTTGGAAGGAAAAATGGGTGGCTATGGGTCAAGCATATGAGGGAGATCAACTTTCTCTTTATATCCTGTATTAGTTTCCTAGGACTGCTGCAACAAATTACCACAAATTTGGTGGCATAAAATAACAGAAATTTGTTCTCTCATAGTGGCTGGAAGACCAAAATCAAAGTGTTGGCAGGGCCATACTTCCTTTGAAGGCTTTCAGGGGGAATCTTTCCTCATCTCTTCTGGGTTCTGG